TTTTATAGGCTATGCAGCACGACACAACAACAAGCCACCTTTCACAGTAAAGAAGGTGGAAGGTTTACTGAAGAAAGCATGTGTCCATATCACTAAGGAGAATTGGGCAAAAGTGGTGGAGAAAATAAGGAAAATTATTATGGATGACTTTGAAAGGGACATTCATTTTAATTACATTATTGAAAATCAAGGAGATGAGAATGGCTATATTCTGAATGATGAAATTTTGAGTTTAAAGAGATGGAAGGAATATTTTGAAAGCGTTTTTATGAGTAAGGAGACAACGTATAAAATAAATGAAGTAGAAACTCCGAAAGAAGAGAAAAGAGGTAACGAGATAAGTATAGAAGAAATAATGAAAGCAATGAAAAGCATGAAAGCAGGTAAGGCTGCCGGATATGAAAGATTTTCACTCGAAATGCTAAGGGCTGGAGAGGAAGTGGTGGCAGGCCTGCTGCACACTTTGTTTAATTTATGCTGGGAACTGAAGCGGGTACCGGTAGACTGGTGCAAAGCCGTGATAGTCCCAGTATATAAAGGAAAAGGGTCGCAGCAGGACTGTAAAAACTACCGTGGTATCAGCCTTCTTAGCATTGTGGGAAAACTGTATGCTAAGGTACTGATTGAAAGGGTCATGAAAGAAAATGAAGAATTTGGGATTGCAAGCGGGATTTAGAAAGGAAATGGGATGTACAGATCAAGTCTTTTCCATGTGCATGATCGCTGAAAAGTTTTTGGCCAAATACCAAAAGGTTTTTTGTGCGTTCATGGACTTGGAAAAGGCCTATGACAGAGTGGATAGGGATGTGCTATGGCAAACACTGAATTCATTTGGGTTGAACGCTGGCTTGATACAGGCATTGGAGTCGCTATATAGGGACTCTATTGCTTGTGTTAGGATCAACGGGGTATACTCGGACTGGCTTGGCATCCATAAAGGTGTTGTGTGCAAGAACAGTTGTTTGCAAAAATTGAAAGGTGAAGAATGCGGATTAAAAATGGGTGAGTTAACCATCAAATGCCTTTTGTACGCCGATGATCAAGTTATTCTTGCGTCGTCGGCAGCCGAGCTGCAAATGATGGTTACATTAATGAACAGATCATTAAAAGAAAGGGGTATGAAAGTGAACGCAAGTAAGACGAAAGTTATGGTTTTTGAAAGCGAAGAAAGTAAGACGATATGTGAAATAAGAATAGAAGGGAAGTTGATCGAGCAAGTAGATGAGTTTGTATACCTGGGTTTCGTATTTAGCGGGGATGGGAGATGTGATAAGGATATAGAACAACGAGTGAATGCAGGAAATAGAATAAATGGGGCCTTACACTCTATTGTGAAGAGTCAAAACGTGTCGAATAAGGCACGTATGGCAATTCACAATGCTGTGTTGGTCCCTACTTTAACGTATGGTAGTGAAAGTTGGGTGTGGCAGAGAAGCCTGATAGTAGAATGAACGCAGTTGAAATGCGGGCTGAATCTGAATGACAGGGTAAGAAATTGTGTAATAAGAAAAGAGTGTGGTTTGCAAGATGATGTTGTGACCAGGATTAAGAAAGGAATGTTTCGGTGTTTTGGTCATGTGGAAAGAATGAATGAGGAAAGAGTGACAAAGAAAATTTATGTTGCAGAAGTGAATGACAGAGTCGGAAAGGGACGTTCTAGGCGAAAATTTATCGACCAAATTGGCGATTTATTGAAAATGAACCAAATTAGGAGTACCTTTAACCGACGAGCATGTATGCGTAGGTGTATGGATGTGAAGGAGGCGAGAGAGGTGTGTTAGGATCATGCCAAATGGAAGTCTGTAGTCTCTGCCTACCCCTCTGGGTGATAGGCGTAAGTGTTTATGCATGTATATAAAAAACTGCTACAATTTATAAGAAGGTAAATTTTGACGGCGTATTGACGATCGTAATAGCTCAAGTGGGATATCGGGCGGTCGCGACTCCGACTTTTTTTCATCAATGATTTCGAGCCCTTTTTTAGTAATTTTATTAAAATACGAAAATTCAAATTAAACTAATTACACTCATGATTTTTTATTCAAATAATCAGTTCAGTTTTTTCTGTTATGTCAGTAAGATCAAAAAATATTATTCATGTTTCATCAATATGTAATTTGAATCTAAATACAATTTCCAAAAAAGAAAATAACGAGGAAAGCTCGGTCATTCAGGTACTTATTGAAATAGTAGGTAAAATATAATTTCAGTTTTTGTTGCTTTAAAGCAATGTTTAACAGAGTAAGTTTATTCACATAGATAAGTTCTTTTTATTCTTTTCGTTTAATTACCTACTTTTTAACAATATCATTACGGCCAAGCATGAATCAAATTTTAGTTAGAATATTTCGATTACCGGTTAAATCGGATAAAAGGACAGAGGTTATTGTACTAACGCATATTTTTATCCATATGTTGCTGGAAAGGTATGGATAAACATAAACAGACATAAACACTCGTGCCTGTCACCCAGAGAAGGAGACAGAGACTACAGACTTCCATTTAGCACGATCCCATAACTCTTTCGCTTCCTCCACATCCATACGAGTATACCTACGCAAACATGCTCGTCGGTTAAGGGTAGGTACTCTTAATTTGGTCCATTTTTAATAAATCGCCAATTTGGTCGACAAAGTTTCGCCTACGGCGTCCCTTTCTGACTCTTCCATACATTTCTGCAACATATGTTTGCTTTGCCAGTCTTTCCCCATTCATTATTTTTACACGACTGAACCAACGAAGCATTCCTTTCTTAATCCTGGTCACAGCATCATCTTGCAAACCACACTCTTCTTTTATCACACAGTTTCTCACCTGTCACTCAGATTCAGCCCTAACATACTCCTTAGCGACCGCATTTCTACTGCATTTACTCTATTCTCGTGCTTCTTCTGCCACACCCAACTTCCAATACCATACGTTAAAGTAGGGACTAATATAGCATTGTGAATTGCCATAAGTATACAATCCAAATAAAATATACACATGAATTAATAAAAAGACTAGTAAATCGCACGGTGGTGGCCGGCTGATTATCCGGATGGTACGGATGATCTCGCGAGTTTCGCCGCGAGAGACGATTGTAAAATTATCGACGGGAATTATTCCGAACAATTCCTCTGAGTACCCTCGTAGTAGGTGTGGTAAAATATGTAAAAAGGTAGAGATCCAAGAACATATAGCTCGAAGAACCGGACACCGATGGGAAAAAAGGTTCTCAAGTGGCAGCCTCGTACTGGTAGGTGAAGTGTAGGGTGACGCCCTACTAGACGGAGTGACGACCTGGTAAGACACGCATGAAGTCGATGAATGCAGATTGCTCAGAACCATGTTTTCTGGAATTCCTTTGGGGACCCCTATGTTCAGCAGTGGCCTTGTAAAGGGTTGTAATGATGAAGAATGGTGATGCAAAAAGATGCAACATCTCTTCGCCGCGCCAATGAGTCAAGCCGATCAGGGATAACTTGGTCGTCGACGGCTCGTGCCACTCTGCGCTGGATAGGAGCAGTTGTAGAACGAATGGGTCTGCTCTACCGGGGAAAGACCAGGCTCTCACAGAATACCAGCGTAAAATAGCTTCTGTGTTTCGTATGGTGAGTGCATAGTATGAGAGAACTGGAGACCTTTTGACTGGAAACGAGGCATTCTATTTTAGTTCTCAGGTGTAACAAAGCCATTGCATTTTGATCCATAATCAAGGGTGAATAGAGATGCCTGTGGGCCACAGCTTCCACTTCCAATCAAGTGGACTGTTTGCTTGTTTGTCCCCCTTATTCAATAGAAAAAGGCTCTCAAAAGGCGATGTTCTGACTTTACCAGGCATTACCTATTAGGATATAACTTCGCCTCCAGGTCCTTCGAATACCAGGCGGTGAGGTTACATTTCTTGTTGTAGGTACTGTTGTGTACATTCCGGGCCGCCGATGCAACCAGGCCTGATAACACCGCTTACTGCATAATTTAGTCTTACAGAAGTGGCCAAACCAAAGCTGAGATAATATGTCTCTGATGGATGCAACAAATTATAGAATAAATAGTTTTATTCCCTAAAGCGCACATCAGTGACAGAATAAACAATAATTCTGGAATCATCCGGCAAGATACAAACTTACCCCCATGAGTAAGATGCAATAAAAGACCGCATTCCGTCAACCTATAGTATCATACACGGTGACACCGTAGTACTCTGATAAGATAGTGGTCCGAAGAACCAAGAGACCTGATATCCGTCCGGATTAGAGGTCATCAGAAGGTCGAACCAGGAAGGTACATAATCTTCCACATTTGTGATCCATGAATTTTTTGTATATGTTGAGGGAAAGTCATAAAATGTTCTCCCCGCATTTATGATTGAGCGAGAACGGAGCGATGGTGTTGTAGCTGGGATTTTGTATTATTTGGATGTGGTCGATAAGTAGGTCCGCATCAGTTGTATTATCCTATAGAGGCTAACGTAAACACGGGTATGGTAGTCATTGTCTACGCGTAGGCAAAGGACACTGTATCTCTCTGACGCAAACTCCAGCCCGAGGCGCAAAGGAGTAGGAGTGGTCCAATTTGCATTCTGGGTGAGAAAGTTGCGAAGTATCAGCCGGAGAGGATCCCTGTGTCTCAATTAATGAGAGGAAGGCCGGTTACGTCGTCTCCAGTTTGTAGTGGACGGCGTTAAGGTTCGAGTGAAGGCCCCTGATGATACAAAAATACACTACAAGCGTGGGTGGGGTCGCCTCAGTCTCGATGGTTTGGTTGCCCCGAGCAATGTTAATGTTAAAGGTGCGAGTCGTATTGAATGAATATAGGTTTTTGTATCTATATTCTATCAGTGTTCATGGTTTTGACAAAATAGGTTAAAATAATTGTATATCGAATATTCAGTCTTTTAATGCTGTTATAAAATGTATATCTGCGATTTTATGCAGTCAGAAAATTACATTTGTTGATTTTCTAATAGACAAATAATTCAAAATACTGAGGTATTTCATTTTTACACAGAAAACATCTCAAACTGTTTTTCTTTTTAGGACGTTGCAATTCCGAGTTGGAATTTTTTTATCATTAGAAGAAATTTTGTCTTCAAAAATATCTGTATTTAATAAAGCTATGCATCTATTGAATAAAAGTGATTCTTTTTTAATATTAGTTAATTTTGTCTTTAAACTTGAGGAATACCAGTGGAACGTGTGTTTTTGCTTTATATTTTCTTTTAATCTTTGATTATGTGTATGTAAAACTTCTTCTAGCCCTCCGCCCACTTTGTATGCATTACTTGCTGGTGTTTTAAGAATATTCAGTTTAAAACGTTCAGAACGAAAAATTGGTCCTTGTATTACTGCCGGTATACATGAAAATGTCTCAAACCTATATTTTCCAGGTCCAGGTGTTTCATCCACATTTTGGACAGGAATCCAATTGTGCCATGGTTGAAAACGTGCTTCCGAAGAATGAAAAGGTGCTGTATTTTGCAATTGTAAAGATCTTCTAGATACTAAATAGATATGAGAAAAATCCGCCGGACCGGGTTCTTGCGACTTTCTTTTCAGCGGTTTTAGCCTTTTAGTGCGGGACTTAAACATCCAATTCGGGGAAGAGGTAACACCTTTATAATCATTATCTTGTTTGTTTAGAGAACACTCATTGTGATTGGTAATATCGGTTACTATTTTTATATCCGTAAATCGCGCTGAAGAAGAACCGAATGGTGCCATCTGGCAATGTGAAAATTGACAAATACTGTAATCCGTATCATAGAAAGCAGGACCAGGGCCAATGTTGCTGACAGACATGAATCTTTTACTTTTTACTCCAAAAGGAGCTCGTTCAGGTAGTGTAGCCAGGCAACACTTTTTTTGTAGTTCTGGTATGTCAAAATCACGCTTAACTCTATAATCGCTTGGTCCTGGAATATCATCCACTTTTTTTGACAAAAATCTTTCAGCTTTTGAGCCTAACAGTTGTAGTTCTGGGCCTTTAGGAAGTCTAGGATCGTAAGTTCCTGGACCAGGATGGTTTTCTTTGAAGTTTTTTAGTTGAATTGCTTCAATATATCGATATTGCTTTGAAAATTTACATCTACTTGCGCGTATTTTTTCAGTACATTGACTTGCTAGAGTTGGTTGTTTTTCGAGAGTGTAGTCAGCAGGTCCAGGTTTAATATCATAATTTTTAAAAGTTCTACTTGATGTCCTGCGACTCCACTTGCATCCTTTATAAAAAGCAGTCAGTTCGTTTACTTTCACATCGCGAATAGGAGGAGGTAATTCTTCAATTTTTTGAAGTCTCCGTTTTTTTGTGCCATCGGCAAAAATAATAAATCCATTGTCGTTTTTTGATGGAACTGACAAGCCTGATTCTATCATGGATCGTGGTGGATGCCCTATGAATATTTTTCTCTGATTTTTAACTTTATTAAAGGTTGATTCTTTATTTTTAGTCTCATCATTTTCGATTTCACATTCACATGTATTTTGAATACCACACTGGCAAAGCATACTATCTAAATCTTTTTGACTAAAAGCTTGATATGTAAATCGTGGTAGTTTTGACATCATTGACGAACAGTTCGGAATTCTATGAGGTGTGTCTGCGTAATACATAGCGTGAGTCCAAATCTTTTTTGCTGACTGAGAAACACGAGGAGTTTTCGATAGGAATGGGGCAATATGTGGTTTTATTTTAATGTTATTCCGTGTTTCATATGCACCTGGGTCTATAAGAGTAAAATTTTTAGGTAATCGTGAAAATCTATCTCCTAAACTGTAAGCCATTTTCTCTGAATTTTTATAGATAAAATTATTGAATCATTTGATTTGACAACTGGTTGCCAAAGTATAAATTTTCAGTTTATACAAAGGTACTCTGTGGTATAAATCATAGATTAATATGGAGGTATGAATACTATGTGTTGACAGACACACAGTACATAACCGAATTGGATTAAATTTTTGTAATGCCAATTTTATATGCTGACTAACGATCTGCCCCGGCTTCGCACGACTGTTTTCTAGCTCTTGACAACAACGTTACTTACTGTGTCCAATCGTGAGTATGAGTGTTCATCAAAATCGGTGCAGCCGTTATCAAGTGATGATCTTTTATACATGCGGCAATTGATTTAAAATATATATATATATATATATATATATATATATGATTTTTATACATATATATTTATATATATATAAAATATATATATATATATATATATATATATATATATATATATATATATATATATATATATATATATATATATATATTTATATATTGAAAAAATACGCGCAAGTAGATGTAAATTTTCAAAGCAATATCGATATATTGAAGCAATTCAACTAAAAAACTTCAAAGAAAACCATCCTGGTCCAGGAACTTACGATCCTAGACTTCCTAAAGGCCCAGAACTACAACTGTTAGGCTCAAAAGCTGAAAGATTTTTGTCAAAAAAAGTGGATGATATTCCAGGACCAAGCGATTATAGAGTTAAGCGTGATTTTGACATACCAGAACTACAAAAAAAGTGTTGCCTGGCTACACTACCTGAACGAGCTCCTTTTGCAGTAAAAAGTAAAAGATTCATGTCTGTCAGCAACATTGGCCCTGGTCCTGCTTTCTATGATACGGATTACAGTATTTGTCAATTTTCACATTGCCAGATGGCACCATTCGGTTCTTCTTCAGCGCGATTTACGGATATAAAAATAGTAACCGATATTACCAATCACAATGAGTGTTCTCTAAACAAACAAGATAATGATTATAAAGGTGTTACCTCTTCCCCGAATTGGATGTTTAAGTCCCGCACTAAAAGGCTAAAACCGCTGAAAAGAAAGTCGCAAGAACCCGGTCCGGCGGATTTTTCTCATATCTATTTAGTATCTAGAAGATCTTTACAATTGCAAAATACAGCACCTTTTCATTCTTCGGAAGCACGTTTTCAACCATGGCACAATTGGATTCCTGTCCAAAATGTGGATGAAACACCTGGACCTGGAAAATATAGGTTTGAGACATTTTCATGTATACCGGCAGTAATACAAGGACCAATTTTTCGTTCTGAACGTTTTAAACTGAATATTCTTAAAACACCAGCAAGTAATGCATACAAAGTGGGCGGAGGGCTAGAAGAAGTTTTACATACACATAATCAAAGATTAAAAGAAAATATAAAGCAAAAACACACGTTCCACTGGTATTCCTCAAGTTTAAAGACAAAATTGACTAATATTAAAAAAGAATCACTTTTATTCAATAGATGCATAGCTTTATTAAATACAGATATTTTTGAAGACAAAATTTCTTCTAATGATAAAAAAAATTCCAACTCGGAATTGCAACGTCCTAAAAAGAAAAACAGTTTAAGATGTTTTCTGTGTAAAAATGAAATACCTCAGTATTTTGAATTATTTGTCTATTAGAAAATCAACAAATGTAATTTTCTGACTGCATAAAATCGCAGATATACATTTTATAACAGCATTAAAAGACTGAATATTCGATATACAATTATTTTAACACAACTGGCTTGGCTGGACAACTGGTTGCCAAAGTATAAATTTTCAGTTTATACAAAGGTACTCTGTGGTATAAATCATAGATTAATATGGAGGTATGAATACTATGTGTTGACAGACACACAGTACATAACCGAATTGGATTAAATTTTTGTAATGCCAATTTTATATGCTGACTAACGATCTGCCCCGGCTTCGCACGACTGTTTTCTAGCTCTTGACAACAACGTTACTTACTGTGTCCAATCGTGAGTATGAGTGTTCATCAAAATCGGTGCAGCCGTTATCAAGTGATGATCTTTTATACATGCGGCAATTGATTTGATATATATATATATATATATATATATATATATATATATATATATATATATATATATATATATATATATATATATATATATATATATGTATGTGTGTGTGTGTGTGTGTGTGTGTGTGTGTGTGTGCGCGAGTTGTTTGTGTGTGTGTGCGCGCGCGTATGTGTGTGTGTGCGGGCGTGCGCAAGCGCGCGCGCACACACACTGTGTTCGTAAGTGTGCACGCATGTGTGTGTAGTTGTGTTCATACGTGTGTGCGGTTGTGCGTGTGTTTGCTTTTGTGTGTGGGTACAAGTGTGTGCCGATGCATGCGTGCGAGTGTGAGTGCGCGTTTTGTGTGTGCGTGTGGGTGTATGTTCCTGTTCGCGCGCACGCGCGCGCGCGCGTGTGTGTGTGTGTGTGTGCGTGCGTGCGTGTGTCCACTGTTTTGTTTTGTGCGTGTCCGTGAATGTGTGTGTTCGTTCGTGCGCGCACGTGTGTGTGAGTGAGTGTGCGTGTGTGTGTGTGTGCGAGGGCACGCGCGTGTATGTATGCGTGCGACCGCGTGCGCGTATGTGTATGTGTTCGCGCGCGTGTATGTATGTGTGCGCGCGAGTGTGTGTATGTGTATGTGTGTTTGTGTCTGTGTTTGTGAGTGTGTAGGTGTGCGTGTGCGTGCGTGCGGGTGTGTGCGCGTGCGTGTGTGTTCGTCTAAGTGCGTGTTTGTGTGTGAGCGCAGAAAACGGAGACTAAGAATGGAGACGTGGTGGAAGCGGAGGTTAATGCAGCGTAGTTTGTGGTGAAGGCGGAGGAGAGGAATTTGTAGCGAAGACGGAGATAGTGGAAACGGTGAGAGTGGGGTCAGAAGTGGGTCGACCTTGGATTGTGTTGGAGGCGGAAAGAATAGTCACAGCGAGTGGTGGTGGCGGCGGATGAAACGGGGTTTATGGTGGAGGCGGAGGTTGCGAAGATGGAGAACGAAGGCTCAGAGAGGACTGCGGTGGTAGATGTGGAGGCGTAGGTGGCAGAGGTGGTGGTGGGTGCACTGGAGTGCAGTAAAGTGGGTACCGCGTGAGGGCAAGTGAGGCTCACGTAAAAAACAGTTGGTTACAGCGAAAAACAGTGTGGCTAGTAAGTGGATATCGATACTGGATATCGATAAGGATGTTACTACGAGGTTATTAATTTTTCCGA